GCTAAAATCCTAAAATTCCGAGCCATGAAATCGCAGATTCTCAAATCTTGAACTCTAACGTTCAAAAATCTGTAGTTACATAACCCCAATCCTACAATCCTGAAATCCAGAATATTAAAATCTTAAAATCGTCAAGTTATGGATCGTATTTTTAATACTAAAATCGGCAGTCGAGCTCCCTAGAATTCTGAAATTCTGAATCCAGAAATCTCAAACACTTATATCCTGGGCAATGACATTAAAAAACTGGAATCACGTAAGTAACCCAAAATCCTCAATCCTCAAGTCCTAAAACTCTGAATCTCGAAATCCTGGACTTTGACATTTTAAATCGTGAAAACAAACTGTGAATCTCAAAATCCAGATCACTAAATTCCTAAAATCCTTAGTTATCACTTCTGACATTTTTTGATAATGAAATATGTAGTCAAGATTCCCAAAATCGTGAAATTCTGAATCCTGGAATCTCAGATTCTCATTTCCCGCACTTTGACATTTTAAACTTGGAAATGGGTAATTCGAAATACACAGACCAGAAATCCTAAAAGTGTGAATCTTGAAATCCAGAAAACTAAATCCCTAAAATTCCCAAGGATTCCGGCATTTTGAAGTTATGAATCCTGACATTTTTAATACTGAAATCCACAATACAGATGCCTAAAAATCCTTAAATTTTCAATCCTGAAATCTCAAATCCTGGACTTTTATATTAAAAAATTGAGTTCCTAAAACTATGAATCTCAAAACCCAAAATATAATCCAAATCCTAAAATCAAATGGTGCATCCTGACATCCGTAATATTGAAATCGACAATACAGATCAATAAAATTCCTAAATTCTGAATCCTGAAGTCTGAAATACTCAAATTTTAGACTTTGAGATTAAAAAACCTGGAATTACATAACCCCAAACGCACAATCCTGAAAACCTAAAGATGTGAATCCTGAAATCCAGAATACTAAAATCGTGAAATCCTAATGTTTTGGATCCAAATATTTTTAATACAGAAATCCGCAGGCGAAATTCCTAGAATCCTGAAATTTTGAATCCTGAAATCCCAAATTCCTAAATGCCTGGAATTACAGAAGCTGAAAGCCACAATCCTGCAAACCAGAATACAAAAACCGTGAAATCCTCACGTTTTGGATCCAAATATTTTTAATCCAGAAATTCACGGTCGAAATCCCTACAATCCTGAATTTCTGAATCCAGAAATCTCAAATTTTTTATTAAAAAATTGGAATCACGCTGTTAAAGCAATATCCACAATCCTGAAATCTTGAAGCTATGATTCTCGAGATCCAAAATACCATAAAAATCCTAAAATCATCAAGTTATGCATCCTAACATTCGTAATATGGAAATCCGCAATACAGATCACCAAAATCCTTAAATTCTGAATCCTGAAATTTCAAGTTCTCAAATTTTCGACTTTGACATTGAAAAACTTGGAATTACATAACTCGAATCTCATAATCCTGAAAACCTAAGAGTGTGAATTCTGAAATCCAGAATATTAAAATCCTGAAATCCTCACGTTTTGGATCCACATATTTTTAATACAGAAATCCGCAGGCGAAACCTCTAGAATCCCGACATTTTGAATCCAGAAATCTTAAATCCTGGAATTGCGTAAACCGAAATCGGTAATCCTTAAAACCCAAGGTGTGAATCCTGAAATCCAGAATACTGGAATCCTAAAATCCTGAAATTATGAGTCTTGACATTTTTAATTTTTAAAACTGCAGGCGAGATCCCAAAAATCCTGAAATTCTGAATCCTGAAATACCAAATTCTAAAATATTCCGAAACACACAATTCTGAAAACCAGAACACTAAAATTGCGAAATCTTCACCTTTGGACAAAAATATTTTTAATACAGAAATCCACAGACGATATCCCTAGAATCCTGAAATTGTGAATCCAAATGCATTAAAAAATTGAAATTACGTAGGTAACGTAAAATATACAATCCTCAATTCCTAAGAGTATGAATGTCGAAATCCAAAATATCATAAAAATCCTAAAATTCCCTAGTTTTGAATCCTGACATTCCTAATATTTAAATCCGCAATACAGATCGCTAAAATCCTAAAATTCCGAGCCATGAAATCTCAGATTCTCAAATCTTGAACTCTAACGTTCAAAAATCTGGAATTACATAACCCCAATCCTACAATCCTGAAATCCAGAATATTAAAATCTTAAAATCGTCAAGTTATGGATCCTATTTTTAATACTAAAATCCGCAGTCGAGCTCCCTAGAATTCTGAAATTCTGAATCCAGAAATCTCAAACAGATATCCTGGGCAATGACATTAAAAAACTGGAATCACGTAAGTAACCCAAAATCCTCAATCCTCAAGTCCTAAAACTATGAATCTCGAAATCCAAAATACCAGAATCCTAGAATCCTCAAGTTATGAATCCTGATGTTCTTTAAATTTCATACCTATTCTTAAATCCTGGACTTTGACATTTTAAATCGTGAAAACAAACTGTGAATCTCAAAATCCAGAACACTTCTGACATTTTTTGATAATGAAATATGTAGTCAAGATTCCCAAAATCGTGAAATTCTGAATCCTGGAATCTCAGATTCTCATTTCCCGCACTTTGACATTTTAAACTTGGAAATGGGTAATTCGAAATACACAGACCAGAAATCCTAAAAGTGTGAATCTTGAAATCCAGAAAACTAAATCCCTAAAATTCCCAAGGATTCCGGCATTTTGAAGTTATGAATCCTGACATTTTTAATACTGAAATCCACAATACAGATGCCTAAAAATCCTTAAATTTTCAATCCTGAGATCTCAAATCCTGGACTTTTATATTAAAAAATTGAGTTCCTAAAACTATGAATCTCAAAACCCAAAATACCATCAAAATCCTAAAATCATCAAATAGTGCATCCTGACATCCATAATATTGAAATCGACAATACAGATCAATAAAATTCTTAAATTCTGAATCCTGAAGTCTGAAATACTCAAATTTTAGACTTTGAGATTAAAAAACCTGGAATTACATAACCCGAAACGCACAATCCTGAAAACCTAAAGATGTGAATCCTGAAATCCAGAATATTAAAATCCTGAAATCCTCACGTTTTGGATCCACATATTTTTAATACAGAAATCCGCAGGCGAAACCTCTAGAATCCCGACATTTTGAATCCAGAAATCTTAAATCCTGGCATTGCGTAAACCGAAATCGGCAATCCTTAAAACCCAAGGTGTGAATCCTGAAATCCAGAATACTGGAATCCTAAAATCCTGAAATTATGAGTCTTGACATTTTTAATTTTTAAAACTGCAGTCGAGATCCCAAAAATCCTGAAATTCTGAATCCTGAAATACCAAATTCTAAAATATTCCGAAACACACAATTCTGAAAACCAGAACACTAAAATTGCGAAATCCTCACGTTTTGGACAAAAATATTTTTAATACAGAAATCCACAGACGATATCCCTAGAATCCTGAAATTCTGAATCCAGAAATCTCAAATTTTTCATTCAAAAATTAGAATCACGCTAGTAAAGCAAAATCCACAATCCTGAAATCCCGAAACTATGAATCTCAAAATTCAAAATATTAGAATCCTAAAATCCTCATTATTAAAAATGTAAGGACTGATGAGTCAGAATTTTAGGATTAGGATATTCTGGGTTTTAGGATTCACATTTTAGGTTTTGACTTTCGGCTTACTTAATTCCAGGTTTTAAAATGTCAAAATTAGGATTTTAGGTATCTCTGTTGAGGATTTCACTATTAAAAATCCATAGCTTGCGGATTTTAGGTTTTCGGTATTCTGGATTTTAGGATTCACAGTCTTAGGATTTCAGGATTGTGTACTTCGAGTGACGTAATTCCATGTTTAAGAATGTCAAAGTCCAGGATTGAAAAATTTGAGAGTATTTTAGGGATCTCAGTGTTAAAAAGGTCAGGATGGGGGAGTTAGCCGGGAAGTCCGGATTAGGGTTTCATTCGATCTTTAGAACGCATAAGGAGATGGGGTGGATTTTGAGGGCTGGGATTTGGGGAGCGGTCGCTCAGGGGTGCAATCAGTCGGATTGGCGCAAAATTCCATTAATATGGGGCGCGAACAGGTATAGGTCGCTGGGTCTTAATCGAGTGTGACCCGGACGCGTTCCCGTGGAGCTGTTTCGATGAAATTTGGTATCGAGGTAGAGGATCGTGGTAGCAAGTTGGTGTTTGCCCATAATTGGCGATATTTATCACGGCGCGTCGCTTTTGATGTTCCTGAGGGACTGCAGCAATATGTCACGTGTAACGTCGGTCCGGATTCGAGCCCGGTGAGACGAAACCAATCCACTTTTGTTGTACGCGCGTTGCATATCAAAACCTGGAATCGAGGTGTGAAAACAGATTTAAGATTACTGAAGCGGTTTGGCGGAAATGCGTCGCGTTGCCGGCTGGGACACTTCCGGTCTGGCGATTTTCGTCGGAGTTTTCCTGACCATGAATGCGGCGCCACCTCCAGGCCATCTGTGCCGCGTAATTATTTTGTCGTATAATACCGGTTTCTGGATTGCTCTTTATAAAGTTGATTTATCTTCGAGTGACATTATACAAAGTTTACGACTCCTGGGGAAGTTTCAGGCAACATCTAACTTTTATAATTGCATGTTAATAATTCGGGAAGTTTCTCTTTTTGTCGGGGAAAGGGTAAGGAGTAGTACATCCGAGGTGGTTTCCATTGCACAGCGCCGCTAATTGGATTCGTTTGCGTTAATTGAGCCGAAGTTTACACCGGCGTTATTCTTTTGTTGAGAGCCGGCGTTATTAGGAGGATTTATGGTGCGTCCGATGCGACTTGGCTGTTTTAATCAGCGCATACATCGCCGAAACGCGCCAGCAATTAATCCGTTTTAATACGAGCTGCCCGTCAAATAATGTCCGTTGGAATAGCCCCCATAAACAACGCGGTGTCCCAATATCAAGACCGTCCCTAATTTGAATCATCTTTCAGGGGCCCAGGTCGAAGTGGTGCCCCGGGAGGCCCTAGTGCTCCCCGGCCAGAACGTCACGGTCATGTGCCGGGTAGGCGTGCCCTTGCAGTACTGCCGCGTGGAAATCCCCAACATGCGCCCCCTCAACCTCAACGCCAAACTGTCTAATCCCGACGTGGCCTACTACGGGTCGGGACTCTCGGCGGGCCAGTGCGGCTTCACGATAAACAAGGTCACGGAGAAGAACAACGGACCCGTGAGGTGCATGCTGGGGATAGAAACCGAGGCCACGGAGTCCACGGGCACGGTGCAACTGATCGTCGCCAGTAAGTCATCAGGTCTAGGGTTAACCCACGTAACATACAACGTTTGCAGAGGCCCCCAGGATACCCGAAATGGACTTGAGCCGGGGCACCGACTCCCTCAATATCTACAAGCTGAACGACGTGCTCCAAGCGTCGTGCGTGGTGAGGGACGGCAGACCGGTAGCTAACATCTCGTGGTACCTCAATGAAGAGCCCCTTTACAATAGTGAGGTTAGCATGCCCACGATCATGGAACTAGCGAAAGAGAATCTCCAGACCAAAGTCCAGAATATGACGCGAGTGCTCCAGGCTACAGACAACGGGAAGTCGCTGCGCTGCGTCGCTTTCCATCCCGCGTATCCCGAGGGACGGGCTGAGACGTCCAGACAGCTCGACGTTAAATGTAAGTTTCAAGGAATTGGGAGCATTTTTTGAAAAGGGGGTTTTAGATGCTCCGTTGCCGCAAGCCGATTTGCATAAATTCGGGTACATAGTGGGACAGCCCGGGCTCATCACGGTGGTGTTGGAGGCCAACCCGAGACCCATTATCGAGTGGGAGATCGGGAGCGAGAAACTACGGGAGAACCAGAATGACCAAACCGGGCGGCTGGAGGCGGAAGAGGTTAAAGACATGGGGAGCGGTCGGTTCGATGTTAGTTTGAGAATAGCCGCCATCAAGAAGGAAGACACGGAGAGGACGTATACGTTGAGGGCTTACAATGACATGGGCAGCTACGACTACACGGTTATTATTTCGACCAGTCCGGAACCTGAAGGTATGTAGAAGGGCGCATGGAACCAATAGAAGGTTCGTTTTCCTGGCTTATCCTTCGGTGGTTCCCAAACTTTCTCAAAAGAGGTATTCTCAGGATTATGTGTCACACATCAGCTTTCTAAGTAAAAAAGAAGTGACAAAAAATGTAAAACTGTGAAATTTTTGAGTCACGGATGTTAAAATTCAAATCCTAAAACTACGAAATCTGACATTCACAGGCCTAGAATTTTAAAACTGTGAATTCCGAAATCTTCAAGCTACTAAATCCAAAATCTGAAACCGAAATCCTGGAATTCAAAATTATGAAATTTTAAAATTTGCAACACCGAAATCCTGAACTAAAATTCAAGGTACTTAAATTATGTTTCTTGAAATCCTGAAACCCGAAATTCCGAATACTGGAATTCTTGTAATTATATACTAAATGCCAAAATCTAAATATCAAAAACTTCAATTCCTAAAAACTGAGTTCCAAAAATCCGAAATCTGAAATTCTAAAATCCTGACTCTCATTATTTAGATTCTCGAAATTCCAAATTCCGGAAATCACGAATAGTGAAATTGTGAATTTTTGAATCGATCCTGAAAAACCAAAATCTTGAAATTGCGTGTTCAAAAATATAATTTTTGAAGGTGTAGGTCCGGAATTCATCCTGCGTAGTGAAGAAATTGAAAGTTGTGAAATTGTGAATTTTGAATCGATCCTAAAATTCAAAATATTTTTTTCTAATAATAAATCTAATTTCGTCCTTAGACATATAAATTTTAAAGCTGTAGTTCCTGAAATCACCATTTCTGCAATCCTAAATCCTAAAAATTAAATTCCAAATTCTGAAATACTCGTTCCAGAAATCGCAAATAGTGAATCGATCCTAAAATCTTCAAATTTCGTCTTCAGAAATCTAAAATTTGAGGTGTAATTCCATCATTTCTACAATCCTAAATTCTAAAATTAAATTCCAAAATTCCCAATTCTGAAATTCTAAAATCCCGAATCGCAAATAGTGAAATAAATTGTGAATTAAGAATCGATCCTAAAATTCTAAATCTTAACTTTTTAAAGTGCAGTTCCTTACGTCATCAGTCTTGTAATCCTAAATCCTAAGAATTAAATTCCAAAAATCCGAATGTCATAATTATAGACTCGCGAAATTCCAAACCCTGAAATACTCTCTCCAGAAACCGCAAATTATGAAATTGTTAATTTTAAATCGATCCTAAAATTCTAAATCTTGAAATTTCGTGTTCACAAATCTAAGTTTTAAAAGGGTAGTTCCTCATGCATCACTCTTGCAATCCTGAATTAAATTCCAAAAATCCGAATTCTGGAATTCAGAAATTCTAAATTGCAAACTCTTAAAACCATAAAAACCGCGAATCATGATTCTAAGATCCTGATTCTCATAATATAGACTCACGAAATTCCAAATCCTGAAATATTCATTCCAGAAATTGCAGATTGTGAAATTGTGAATTTTTAATCGATCCTAAAATTCAAAATTTTGAAATTTCGTCGTCAGAAATCAAAAATTTGAGATGTAGTTCCCGAAGCCATCATGCCTGCAATCCTAAATCCTAAAATTGAATTCCAAAATTCCGAATTCTGAATATAAGAAACTTCAATCCATAAAAACCACGACTCAGGATTTTAGGATATTAATATAAACTCACGAAATTCCAAGTCGTGAAGTGCTCATTCAAAAAGTCGCAAATAATGAAACAAATTGTAGAAATATGAATTTTGAAGATGTAGTTCCTGAATTCCTGCAATCCTAAATCCTGAAATTAAATTCCAAAATTCCGAATTCTGAAATTATAAAATCCTGAACCTCATAAAATAGACTCACGAATTCCAAGTCATCAAAAACTCATTCTAGAAATCGCAAAAAGTGAAAAAAATTGTAGAAATATAAATTTTGAAGATGTAGTTTCCGAATTCCTACAATCCTAAATCCTAAAAATTGAAATCCAAAATTCCGAATTCTGAATTCTAATCTAAAATCCCGAATAATCTCGTAATATAGACTCACGGAATTCCAAGTCGTGAAACGCTCATTCCACAAGTCACAAATAGTGAAAATAAATTGTGAATTTTGAATTGATGGTTCCTGAATTCCTGCAATCCTAAATTCTGAAATTAAATTCCAAAATTCCGAATTCTGAAATTATAAAATCCTGAATCTCATAAAATAGACTCACGAATTCCAAGTCATCAAAAACTCATTCTAGAAATCGCAAAAAGTGAAAAAAATTGTAGAAATATAAATTTTGAAGATGTAGTTCCCGAATTCCTACAATCCTAAATCCTAAGAATTTAAATCCAAAATTCCGAATTCTGAATTCTAATCTAAAATCCCGAATAATCTCGTACTATAGACTCACGAAATTCCAAGTCGTGAAACGCTCATTCCACAAGTCACAAATAGTGAAAATAAATTGTGAATTTTGAATTGATGGTTCCTGAATTCCTGCAATCCTAAATCCTGAAATTAAATTCCAAAATTCCGAATTCTGAAATTATAAAATCCCGAATCTCATAAAATAGACTCACGAAATTCCAAATCCTGAAATATTCTTTCCGGAAATCGCTAATAGTGAAATTGTGAATTTTGAATCGATCCTAAAATTCTATATCTTGAAATTTCATCTTTAGGCATCTAAATTTTAAAGATGTAGTTCCTGAATTCCTGCAATCCTAAATCTTGAATTTAAATTCCAAATTTCCGAAATTAAATTCCAAAATTCCGAAATTCTAAAATCCCGAATCTCTAATATAGACTCACGAAATTCCAAATCCTGAAATAGTCTTTCCGAAAATCGCTAATAGTGAAATTGTGAATTTTGAATCGATCCAGAAATTCGAAATCTCGAAATTTAATTTTTGAAGGTGTAATTCCGGAAGTCAGCCTGCATTCCTAAATTGAATTCTGAATTCTGAAATTCTAACATAACATTTATATAAACATAATATTGACTCACGAAATTCCAAATCCTGAAATATTCTGAAATTGTGAATTTTGAATCGATCCTAAAATTCTAAATCTTGAAATTTCATCTTTAGGCGTATAAATTTTGATGATGTAGTTCCTGAATTCTTGAAATCCTAAATCCTGAAATTAAATTCCAAAATTCCGAATTCTGAAATTATAAAATCCTGAATCTCATAAAATAGACTCACGAATTCCAAATCCTGAAATATTCTTTCCGGAAATCGCTAATAGTGAAATTGTGAATTTTGAATCGATCCTAAAATTCTATACCTTGAAATTTCATGTTTAGGCATCTAAATCTTAAAGATGTGGTTCCTGAATTCCTGCAATCCTAAATCTTGAATCTCATAATATAGAGTCAAGAATTTTGATTAGATCCTAAAATTCTAAATCTTGAAATTTCATCTTTAGGCATCTAAATTTTAAAGATGTAGCTCCTGAATTCCTGCAATCCTAAATCCTGAAATTAAATTCCAAAATTCCGAATTCTGAAATTATAAAATCCTGAATCTCATAAAATAGACTGACGAAATTCCAAGTCGCCAAAAACTCATTCTAGAAATCGCAAAATTGAAGTAAATTGTGAATTTTAAATCGATCCTAGAATTCGATTTCTTCAGAAATTTAAAGTTTGAAGGTGTAGTTTCTGAAGCCACCATACCTACAATTCTAAGTCCTAAAAATTAAATTCCAAAATTCCGAATTCCGAAATTCTAAAATCCTGAATCTCATAATATAGACTCAGGAAATTCCGAATCCTAAAATATTATGAAATTGTGAATTTTGAATCGATCCTAAAATTCTAAATCTTGAAATTTCATTTTTAGGCATCTAAATTTTTAAAGATATAGTTCCTGAATTCCTGCAATCCTAAATCCTGAAATTAAATTCCAAAATTCCGAATTCCGAAATTCTAAAATCCTGAATCTCATAAAATACTCACGAAATTACAAATCCTGAAACAGTCCTTCCGGAAATCGCTAATAGTGAAATTGTGAATTTTGAATCGATCCTAAAATTCTAAATCTTGAAATTTCATCTTTAGCCATCTAAATTTTAAAGATGTAGTTCCTGAATTCCTGCCATCCTAAATCCTGAATCTCATAATATAGAGTCAAGAAATTCCAAATCCTGAAGTATTCTAAAATTGTGAACTTTGAATCGATCTTAAAATTCAAAATCTTGAAATTTCGTCTTGAGAAATCTAAAGTTTGAGATGTAGTTCCTGAAGCCATCATTCTTGCAATCCTAAATCCTAAAAGTAAATTCCAAAATTCCTAATTCTGAAATTCTGATATTCAAAACTTAAATCCCTAAAAATCAGGAATCATGATTTTAAGATCCTGAATCTTATAATATAAACTCACGAAATCCCTAGTCGTGAAATGCTCATTCAAGAAATCGAATTTGAATCGATCCTAAAATCAAAATATTGAAATTTCATCTTTAGAAATCTAAATTTTGAATATGTAGTTCCTGAATTCCTGCTATCCTAAATCCTAAAAATTAAATTCCAAAAGTCCGAATTGTGAAATTCTAAAATCCTGAATATTGTAATACAGACTCACGAAATTCCAAGACGGGAAATACTCATCTAGAAATCAAAATAAATTGTGAATTTTCAATCGATCCTAAAATTCTACATCTTGAAATTTCGTCTTCAGAAATCTAAAGTTTGAGTTGTAGATCCTGAAGCCATCATTCCTAGAAATCTAAGCCCTAAAATTAAATTCCAAAATTCCGAATTCCGAAATCCTGAATCTCATAATATAGACTCACGAAATTCCAAATCCTGAAATATTCATCCCAAAAATCGCAAATTGTGGAATTGTGAAATCTAAATTTTGTAGGTGTAGTTCTTGCAGTCATCATTCTTGCAATCCTAAATCCTAAAAACTGAATTCCAAAAATCCGAATTCTGAAATTCTAGAGTCCTGAATCTCATAATACATATAGGTTCACGAAATTACAAATCGTGAAATGCTCATTCCAGAAATTGCAAATAGTGAAAGAAATTGTAAACTTTTAATCGATCCTAAAATTCTAAATCTTGATTTGTCGTATTTAGAAATTTAAATTGTTAAAGTTGAGTTCCTCCCGTCATCATTCTTAGAATTAAGTTCGAAAGATCCGAATTCTGAAAAATCCTGGAATATTCATTTCCGTAATCGCAAATTGTGAAATTGTTAACTTTGAATCGATCTTGAAATTCAAAATCTTGAAAATTCGTCTTTAGAAATCCAAATTTTGAAGGTGTAGTTCCTGAAGTCATCATTTCTGCGATCCAAACTCCTAAAAGTTAAATCCAGAATTCCAAATTGTGAAATTCTAAAATCCTGAATCGCATAATATGGACTCACGAAAATACAAGTGGTGAAATACCCATTCCAGAATTAGCAAATAATGAAAAAGTTGTGAATTTTGAATCGATCCTAAAATTCTAAATCTTGAAATTTTTTAGGTATAATAATAGTTCTTAACGTCATCATTCTTGCTATGCTAAATCCTAAGAATTAAATTCCAAAAATCTGAATTCAGAAATTCTAGAATCCTGAATTCTTATATATAAATATAGACTCGCGAAATCCCAAATCCTGAAATATTCCAGAAATCGCAAATTGTGAAATTGTGAATTTTGAATCGATCCTAAAATTATAAATCTTGTCATTTGAAATCTAAATTTTGTAGATGTAGTTCTCGATATCATCATCTATGCAATCCTAAATCCTAAAAATTAAATTCCAAAATTCTAGAATCCTGAATCTCATAATATAGATTCGCGAAATTCCAAATGATGAAATACTCTTTCCAGAAATCACGAATAGGGAAAGTGTGAATTTTAAACCAATCCTAAAATTCTAAATCTTGAAATTTCGTACTCGCTAACCTAAGTTTTGAAGCCATAGTTCCTGACGTCATAGTTCCTGCAATCCTAAATCCTAAAAATTGAATTCTAAAATTCTGAATTTCTAGAATCCATAACACCAAAAACCTTGAATCTTAAAAGGCCTGAATTCTTCACCAATATCAAATATCAAAGCCTGAACTCTTCACTCCTACAAACCCCAATCTTGGAATTCCAAATTCATTTTCAATTCTAAATCTAAAATTCACGGTGTCATTATACACCAATTTCTAGAATCCTGAATTTCAACAACTTAAATCTATAAAAACCGCGACTGTTAAATCTGAAATCCTGAATCTTGTAATATAAACTGACGAAATTTCAAATGTCAAAATTCTCATTCCAAAAATCGCAAATACTGAAAGTGAATTTTGTATCAGTCCTAAAATCTTGAAACTACGTAAATTCAGAAACCTAAATTTTGAAGTTGTAATTTACGTTTCTAGTTCTCCAATCATAAATTCTAAAAGTTGAATTCTAAAATTTTTAAACCCTAGACCGTCGAATGAATATTAATTAGAAGTCAAGAATTTTAAAATCCTGAAATCCTAAATATAAAATCCTAAACAATGAATTCTAAAACCATGCAATCTTAAAAGCCAACTCCTGGAATTTCAAATTAAGAATTAAACATGTATTTATTATGGACTGACGAAATTGTGAATTGTGATCTAATCCTAAAACAGCGACCACAATTCATGAACTTAACGCCGAAACCCTGAACTTTAAAAGCAGAATTCTTGATTTTTGAAATCTTGAAACCAGAATTCAAAAAAATAGAGTAAGAGAATAGAGAAAAACTAGAAGGACAAAATCAAAGACTAAAGATACAGAACAAATTAAAGATTTTGTATCCGACTTTATGTTTACAACTGTTAAAGTTTTATTTACATTCCTCAAGGCGCAAAACTACTGTGTTTTCCTTCCTGTTTACACAACAAACTATAGTTAGTTTAGTCTTAAGGCATTATTTTTGTTTGGGAACCGCTGCCCTAACCACTATACAGACTTTCCGTTTCATGCTGCCTCAGGCATTCACAAATTCTTGCACCAAACCCGACTGTACGGTAAGCACTCGGCACGCCCTCTATCCGCCACCGCCCGCTCTAACCCTCTCTCATCCACAGGAATCGAGCTCGGAATCGGCGGCATCATCGGCATCGTCGTCTCCATCCTCGTCGTCCTCTTCGTCGTGTTCCTCCTCGTCTTCGCCAAGGTGACCTCCCGGTGGTGCTTCAGCGGTAAGTCCCCCTTAACCCCCCTCTGTTACGTGGCTGCAATTAATTGTCGTGATCGATGTTACCACCCTGTCCGGCCAAATAAAAGCTAATCGACGGGGCGGAGGCAAGGGGCCTTGTAGTAGACGTATTTTGTGCATGGTGACTGGTTGCATGTTCTTGCCTCGTGCGCTCTAGTTAGCTTTTATTTGTTGTAGATGGCGCCACCGTGATCGACTACACGACGGGCGACAGCAGCCACCACGTGACCGCCGACGGAGTGAGTGGGGACGGCGTGGATAACCCCCACCACCAGGCGTCGCAGGAGTACATCAACGGGAACGACGTGAAGAAGGAAGAGAAGAAGATCAACACCGAGGTCTAAGTGGCGGTGTCGCGGGGACTCGATTTTTCAATTTTCGTTATGTCGTATGACTGCTGTTAGATCTGATAGGTTTATCCCACAAGCTACTAGATGTAAATATTGAATGTCGTGGATTATTGTGTCAAGTTTTGATTTTTTCGAGGGGGCGCCCTCTATAGTTGATTAACTGTGATGGCGGACCGCGAACAAGATGGCCGATTGGCGGCCATCTTGTTCGCGCGAAAGGTCCATTGTCTCTCTTATGATGCCGATCTTGCTCTCAAATACTCATTTAGTTGTGTACGAGGTGTCATTCGAAGTATTACTGCCATAATGCAATCAAAAATGAGGTTTTGAGCCGAGCGCTAACATTCCATATATTTTTTTAATTTTAGTGTGTATTTTTATGTAATATAAGACAATAAATGAATTAATTTTTTACGCACTTAGGTTAGTTCTCACGTCATGTATTATTTATTTCCATTATACTTAACTATTTTTCTAAGTTGTTAGAAATTTTTTATACTTCCAGTATTGTTACGGACAAGTGGATGAGCTCTTTAAGAAAATATTACTAAGATTATATGAAAATTCAACAAGATATGATATTAATGTAAAAATTTTGTATGTTACATGTACTTAAATATTTAGAGATAAGTTGAGCGATAATTATAAAATTGTTTTATAAATAAATTTATCTGATAACGGGTCGTTTCAGTCACCCAATTAGTTGCAGTCTCGCGAGCGACTCACTCTCAATCACTTTTTTTACTTACAGAACAACCAGACACTAGAAACCTAGGCGAATCGTAAGTATTTTACGCACACTTAACTAGTACGCACTAGAACTAGAGTGTCTTGACGTAATATGACGTTTTTAAGAGTGTGGACACGAAATGACAGTTCCAATGTCAAAATAATTTAGGTTGACAGTTCAAAATTCTACATAGTAAATGGGTTTTAAATAACATAGTCCTACACATGTGGTTTATGACTCCGTGTTGAGTTTTTAAAATCAAAATTATAAAACATTTTGCAATTTAATTTTAAATCTGCATAATCGGATGCTTTGAAATCTTGCAGATGTTTGTTTATCGCCCCTAAAAAATTAATGACGTGAGCTCAAATTTTGGCGAATAAATTCTATTCGAAATGTACAAACCCAAGAAGTCGAAAAATTGTAAAATCTAAAATCTAAAAAATCGAAAAATCGATGTCGAGAAATTCAAATTTCGAACAATCGAAGTACTGATACGAAAAAATTATAAATCGGGAAATCGAAACATCGCAAAATCGTAAAATCCAAAAAACTAAAAAAATCGAGGATCGAAATTCGAGACGGATGTCGAGAAATCGAAAATATGAAATTACTCAAAATCGAAAAATTAATAATCAAAAAATTTAATATTCAATCAAATCGATAAATAAAAAATTGGAATATCGACAAATTGAAAAAAATTCAGAAATTACAAAATTCCTAAAATTGAAGAGTTAAAAAATTCAGAAATCAAAAATTTGAAAAATCAGGAAATCGGGAAATCCAAAAATCGATTATAGCCGCTTTTTTTATTTGTAAAAATCGGAAAATTGAAAAATTAAGAACTGTAAAATTTAATAAAGCGAAAAATTAAAAAATCGAAATCCGAAAGTCGAAAAATCAAAAATCGAACAAACAAAACATAAAAAAATCGACAAGTTTTAAATTTAAAAAATCAAAAAAATTAAAATATTGACAAACTGATAAAACTTGAAATTGAAAAATTCTCAAGATTGAAATGTTGAAAAATTTGGAAATCGATAATTTCAAAAATGAAGAAATCGAAAATTTTAAAAATCCCCAAATTCGATTCTCGAAAAATTGGGAAACCAAAAAATTGAAAAATCGAAACTTGAAGATCGAGAAGTCGAGAGGGAAAAGTCGAGAATTTGAATTAATCCAAAATCGAAAAATCAATAATAAAAAAATCAGAAAATTGAGAAATCGAGAAATCGGTAATTGGAAAATTGAAAAATTTAAAATTAAAAATAAAAAATTCAAAATATCGACAAATTGAAAAAAAAAATTGAAAAATTCCTAAAATTGAAATGTTCAAAAATTAAGAAATCAAAAATTTCAAAAATCGAGCAATCGAAACATCAAAAAGTCGTAAAATTTAAAATTAAAAAAATCGAAAAATTTTAAATTTGAAAAATCAATAAAATTAAAATATCGACAAACTGATAAAACTGGGAAATCGATAATTTGAAAAATCGAAAATTTGAAAACTGAATTCTTGAAAAATTGGGAAGCCGAAAAACTGAAAAATTGAAACATCGAAAAATTAGAGAATCAAAAAATCGAAACTTTTAAACATGGAGAAATCGAGACATAAAAGACCTAGAAGAGATCGAAAAATCGAGAAATTGAAATAACCCAAAATTGCAAAATTAATAATAATTAAAAACTTTAATAAAATCGAAAAATCAAAAAATAAGAAAATTAAGAAATCGGTGATTAAAAATTTGAAACATTTAAAAACCCAAAAATTGAAAAATCGAAAAATTAAAATTTTAAAAATCAAAAATCGAATTCCGAAAAGTATAAAAATCAAAAATCGAGCAACCGAAATATCAAACAATTGAAAAAACCAGAAATTGAAAAATTCCTAAAACTGAATGTTGAAAAATTAAGAAATCAAAAATTCCAAAAATCGAGCAATCGTTGAAAAACTCCCAAAAATGAAAAGTTGAAAAATTCAGAAACCGAAAACTTGAAAAATCCGAAGATCGAAAAATCGAGAAAAATTTGAAAAACCGAAAATCGAATCCGAAAGGAGAAAATCAAGCAATCGTAAAATCAAAAAATCGAAAAATTTTAAATTAAAAAATCAAAAAAATTAAAATTTCGACAAACTGATAAAACTAGAAATTGAAAAATTCCCAAGATTGAAATGTTGAAAAATTGGGAAATCTAAAATTTGAAAAATTTCGAAACTAAACTCTGGAAAAATTGGGAAAACGAAAATTCGAAAAATTAGAGAATCAAAAAATCGAAAAGCCTAAAAGAGACATGAAAAGATCGAAAATTCGAGAGATCTAAAAACCGAGAAATTGAAATAACCCAAAATCGAAAAATTGGAAAATCAAAAATCGAATTCCGAAAAGTAGAAAAATCGAAAATTGAGCAATCGAAATATCAAACAATCGAAAAATTTTAAATTTAAAAAATCAAAAATTCCAAATATCGACAAACTGAAAAAAACAGAAATTGAAAATTTGAAGTGTTGAATAATTGAGAAATCAAAAATTTCAGAAATCGAGCAATCGTTGAAAAACTCCCAAAAATGAAAAATTAAGAAATTCATAAGTTCAAAAACCGAAATTCGAAATTGAAAAATCGAAAATCGAGGAATCGAAACATGAAAAAATCGAAAAATTTGAAATTTAAAAAATACAAAAAAATTGAAATATCGACAAACTGATAAAACTAGAAATTGAAAAATTCCCAAGATTGAAATATTGAAAAACTGGGAAATCGAAAATTTGAAAACTGAATTCTTGAAAAATTGGGAAGCCGAAAAATTGAAAAATCGAAACATCGAAAAATTAGAGAAACATGAAGAAATCGAGACATAAAAAGACCTAGAAGAGATCGAAACATCGAGAAATTGCAAAATTAATAATTAAAAAATTAATAAAATCGAAAAATCAAAAAATAAGAAAATGAAGGAATCGGTAATTGAAAAATTGAAACATTCAAAAACCCAAAAATTGAAAAATCGAAAAATTACAATTTTAAAAATCAAAAATCGCATTCCGAAAAGTAGAAAAAAAGAAAATCGAGCAATCGAAATATCAAAGAATCGAAAAATTAAAAAATCAGAAATTCTAAATATCGACAAATTGAAAAAACCAGAAAATCTTGGAAGCCTCGAATATTTTGTTTTTAAAAAAATCCTGGCCCCTAGTGTATTTAATTCCTCAAATCCTCAAAATACCTAAATCCCCAAATCCTCAAAACAATAAAATCCCCAAATCTTAAAAATATTAAACCTCTCAGATCCTCAAAACGCCTAAATCCTCAAATCCTCATTTCGTCTATTAACAAATCTAATTTACGTGAATACAAAAACAACAAAAATGACGAGAGGGTGGGAGGGCGGGCCAACTGCTTGCCTATAAAACTCTCTGGAAAAAAGATAAACTTAACCCCGCCCACCCACCCGTTCTTTCATTTGTTTTTCTTCAGAAATAAGAAATCAATTTTATAACAAATAGTACAACAAAAAAGTTACGATTGGCGCTTTTTTTACAGCCTAGTTTCTATCAGTTACTTGCCACTCCCACTCTGCAGAAGAACATATAATAAACCCCGCCCACCCATCCACCTCCATTTCGGTGATTAATTTTATATAAAAAAAAATCCTGCGCCAGTTGAAGAGAAGAAGAAAAGACACTTAAACATGTTTAAAATAATAAATCTTTGTAGAAAAATATGGATTTTGCAATTAAACTCCGCCCCTCCTATCTGACAACGAATAAAAAATTCATCACAACTGAGATAGGAGCGGGTGGGTGGGGCTTAATTATTGGCTCCTTTTGCTTAATGTTTAGCGGTACTCTTCTCAAGGGTAGCACAGTACTACTTGACACTCTTAAAAACAATATTATCCTTCAAGACACTCTAGCACATATTAACTCTCCCCCAGGAGCGACACCGAGAGCGCCGACGTCCGCCACCGCGACCCCCACAAGTTCCCCATCAAGCTCACCCAGTTCTTCAAGAAGAGCAAGGACAAGGTGGCCTCCACCGAGGACGTCGAGCCCAAGAAGCTCGACGAGGAGGTGAAGGAGCCGCTCGAGGGCGACGGCGACCCCAAGGAGGCCGGCCTCGTGTACGCCGAGCTCGATCTCGTCAGTCCTAGCAGCGTCAAGCCCGTCGTCAAGAAAGACGACGAGAAGACCGAGTACGCGGAGATCGTTTACACGCCGCAAGACGGCGACAAGGCCTGAGTGTTTCCGGTGGATCTGTTTGTGTTTAGGGTAGAAGCGCCGCAAGTGCAATTAATTGTTTTTGTACAAATTCTGACAGACGCGTGTCGTTTTAGATTGTAGATCTGAGAGCACTTGACAACTCAAGAGATTCGTCCATAGGTTAAGTTGTGGTAGTCACTCGATGTACTTAATTATTACAATTTTATATATTTTTGAGTATTTTAAGGAGAATAAAGTGATTTTATTAAGTTTAGTAAGTTTGTTTGAGCGGGACAGATGTCGTCGGATTAAGCGAGGAATGGGGGAAGAAAAGTCCTGGTATAAGTTTGATTTAACAGTTTTTTTTGTAAGTACTACTAGGTTTAAAATAGTGTGAGAATTAGGCTTCTTTTTGGATTTCGCCTAGAGGGTTGCCCAACCATGGGTACACATCTGGGCAATATCGGCCGCCATCTCTGACACACAGGGTTAGGTACCTAACCTCCCC